GACTTGGGACGCCTTAAAATTCCCAGTGGCGACTCTGAAACAAATAAACAAATCCCGTTTCGAATGTCCTTCAATTGGAGATAACTCCCTACGCGCCCTCGCGACGCGGTAAAAAGGAGGTGCGACAAATAATAATCAACTTCATTCTAGATACCATGCCTATAGGGCTCCTACACTTACATAATCGTTTTAAAATCAATAACGCTTAGAAATCATGCACATAGGAGCAGCCGTCTGAATCTGATTCGTCTATAAGTCTAAAATCAGTAGTAATGTTTGTTTAATATCTGCAGAATTTAATTGGTTCTAAAATCAGTAACCCTTCTTTAAAATCAGTATACTTCCACCTAGGTAAGTCGTAGGTAATTATTTAACTGTGTCAGTTTTAATAAATTGCAATCAGACAAGGCCTAATTCGGACTCCTCATCTGAGAAATATGAGATGAAGCAGCATGTCCTAACGCTTTAAATCTAATTCAGACTATAACCAGTATTTGAAGTCATGCTAAATAATTTGCTCCTTTAAGTGAGGAGGCCTGTTTGAGCCCTTAAACTGCTATTTGTTTCCCCCTACTTGCTTATGTGTTTTGTTTGTCGCATTAGAATTTTGTCCTATTAAAACTCTGAAAAGCCCCAACCTCCATCCCTTTAGGACTAGTAGTCCCAAATGCCTCCGGAACTGATAGGATCGGGATGGGTAATAGCATGCAATAAGTAACATCACTATTCCGCGTTTAATACCTTAACGGGGTGGGAAAGGGTAGATATGAACATGATGACCGGTGCGCTAATACCACGTGCGACTCCTCTTCTGAGGAGTAATTGCCGGGTATTGCATTGATGTGATCCATATTGTTTGTAAACCTAGGACCCCTTCCCCTTTACTTGTTATCCCTTTTTTAACTGTCCAGGCTATTTGCTTAAGATTTCTGTTTTCTTTATCTTTCTTCAAACTTTCAATTCACTTGCAACATTATGTGTAAATCCCATTCTATTTGAGACCTTTATTTGCTTACTTGTTAGTTAAAGTCATAATTGTAACATGGCCGGGAACCACACTAGTGGATCTTGGGAGGTCCCTAACACCTTCCCCTCGAGATAATTTCTAGCCCTTACCCGAACTCTGGTTTTCCAACTCCAACTCTTCTTTAGTGTCCTAATGCACTTTAATCATTAGGTGGCGACTCTTCAACCCAAAAAACCCAATTTCCAAGAGGGAACGAGTTGTCATCCCAAATGTTATGAACCCGATTTCGCTTTTAGAAAAAGGGGCGCGACACCTACCTCAAGATATACAATGGAACGACTGATCCTGAAGATTATATGACTCATTACGTCACCGCCATGAAAGGCAATGATCTCGCTAAGGAACAATTGTCCTCCATTTTGCTAAAGAAGTTTGGCGAAACCCTCACGGGAGGGGCATTAATATGGTATTCATAGCTACCAGCCCGCTCCATAGAAACTTTCAAAGAAATGGCCGTTAAGTTCGTAACCGCCCATGCCGGAGCCAAGAAGGCCGAGGTGAGAGTAAACGACATATTTGCTATTAAGAAGTCCTTGGGAGAGGGACTAAGGGACTTCCTCGCCAGTTCAACAGAGTAAGGATGACTATGCCAAATGTATCCAAAGGGATGGCGGTCGCAGCTTTTCTGAACGAGCTGGGTAGAGAGGGTTCAAGAGCAACTAGAAAATTGTTGAGCTGATTGATGAAGTACCCTCCAACCACTTGGGACGAAATCCACAATGCTAATTATGCCGAGGTCCGAGCAGACGAGGACGACCTCAACAGACCAACTCATCGGCTAACTTTGGTACAAGCCGAATCCAGAAAAGAACAAAGAGACAGTACTAGAAGAGATCATCCGATTCTGCGACCTAACAAGGAAGGCACCATTTATACGTTAGGGTGGCCGCCACACCCAACCCACTTGTCTAGGCCAAGGGCAGGGACCCATCGGAATGAAAAAGGTATGCCTCCTTTATCTTCTTACAGTTTTTGCGTGTCACCTACAGAAATTGTCTACGCTCTTGAGAAACTCAGAACAAAAGTGAAGTGGTCGCCAAAGATGAGATCAAATCCGAACACTAGAAAGTCTGATGCTCTCTGTGAGTTCCACCAGGAATGTGGGCATAAAATAAAAGACTATATCACCCTCGAATAAGAGGTCGTAAACATGGTACGACAAGGGCACCTAAAAGAGATATTAAGTGATAAAGGGAGGACCAACTTTGCTAGAGGATGTGAACATCAAGGCCCGCCAAAGCCATCATCGCCAGCTCATCCATCAACATGATCATCGACAGCAACGACGATGCCTCTATCAACAGCGTGAAGTTCACCACCACTATTAAACTCAGGTGGTCTATCACCTACAAACGATACGACGAACTCGAAGAAAGTATCGTCTTCGACAAGTCGGATGCCGACAATTTGACTTTCCCTTATAATAATGCCCTTGTTATTACTTTACGCATTTTAGATACCGATGTCAAATGCATCATGGTGGATGATGGAAATAGTGCGTGCATTATCCATCCTTGGGTCCTTACCCAAATGAGGCTTGAGGATAAGTTAGTGTCGCGTTGCATCATGCTAACTAGTTTTAATAATGCAGTTGAGCGAACATTGGGGGAAATACAGGGAAGTTACACTCCCCGTCTTGGTCGGCGGCGTGACTTTGGAGACGACATTCCACATCATGGACCAGGCCACTACGTACAACACTATAGTAGGACGACCATTGATACACCCCATGAGAGCCATCTCATCCAACCTATACCAAATAATTAAGTTCCCGACATTATGGGGAGTATTCAGCATACACGGAGAACAGAGTACGTACCGGGAATACTACCGCATTGCCTTGGACAACACGACCATCCAATAGAAAAAAATAAAGAAAAAGAGGTTAACAATTAACAGGGTCGAGGTCAAAGCAATGATAAACCGGGGATGTCATTATGGACGCCGACATGATCGAGGCTGCAGGTTTGACCATAGAAGATCTCGAACCCATTCAATTGGACCTTAACAGTCATAGTAAGAAGGCCGATATCAGCTGTAAACTCTAGGAACTAGGTAAATTATTAATAGCTAATGCAAATTTATTTGCTTTCAGCCATGCAGATATGCCGATCATCCCAAAGGAAATCGCCACATGCAAGTTAAACGTCAACCCATTCCTGTCACGACCCAAAATGATGGGCCATGACGAGTGCCCGAGTCCTACCTATCGAATACCCCAAAGCATACATCTAAGATATAAATATGAAATAGGGGTAGGTTATGCATAACATCTATCAATAAACTGCTAAATCATCTGAATAACATACGTGAGGAAACATGACCAAAAATACATATATATAGTGTAATAGGCAGGGCGAGCCGACAAGGCTGCTATGGACAACTATACATCAAAATAGAAGCGGACAAGGCCACACACTATCCAACTATACATGATTGTCTACAAACCTCTAATAGAGTGTGCAACTATATAAAGGATAGGACTAGGTCCCGTCATACCCATATATGTATACAAAAATATCGTACCTAAACCTAATAGCAGCTCCAGATCAAATGGAGCACACCAACTCTTACTGAGCAAGGATCCTAAGAAGGGGGACCGTCAGCCTGTCTATCTGCACCTACGGGCATGAAACATAGGCCCCCAGGCAATATGGGCATTAGTACAAATAATGTACCGAGTATGTAAGGCATAAAAATCAATATATGAAAGGCACGAAAGAAACATGGAGTAAAGTATTCAACCTATAAGTCTGAATAGCTCTATTAATTATGAAACATTTATAATGTCATGAATATGCGTATAAATGTCATATCATGCATAAGTATATGCGTAGATAATATCATCAAGCCTCTGAGGGCATCCCATCATATCATCTCGGCCTCAGTAGGCGAAATTATCAATGTATACCAACTAATCAGGTAGCGGTGCATATATAATGCCAAACCTTTCCCCATACCCCATATACATATAATCTACGCGTATATAACCCGATCTGGTCATGGTTCATTGTACATATATAAATGAATGCAATGCATAAGAAGTAAGTCAATAAGATCTCTCAGGATGTCATAAGATCAATATGCCTTCAGTTAATATCACGAAGTAAACTTTATCAACTTACGTATTTTGTGAGACCCATGAACAAAGGATATAACAATAGGACATATGGGGAATCAAAAACATAGGCAACTCTTGTACTTCTAAGAATATAGTCATTTGTAAAAGTTGCGTGTTTGCTCGTTTTGTTGTATCATATGGATCATGCCAAAAGGAAAGAAGGGATAGTCTTAACATACCTTATAGAAATCTGTCCAACAATGCTAAACTCAGCTCACTGCACCTTAATCTACAACAACGACAATGATGTTATTGTCAAGTTACGAACGACTCTCTTATTTATATAACGAAAGTAACTTAATCTGTAACAAAACGGGCAGCATTTCCCCTAATTTTACTGCTTCCTCATGCCTACTATAGGAGAGACAACAACACAATACAATCATCAACTCAAAAACAACCTAACTACAATTCGGGACCTTTAATACAACAAAAAACCCAAATATACCATAACACACCCAATCAACAAGTTATCAATTAGCTTGAAATTGCAACAATGAGCGACCAACCCACTATCCTACCATATGTGGCATTTCTCCACGCCCTTTATCCTTCAAAACTCCATAAATCAACAGCACAAGAGGCCAACATGAGTGGACTACAAAACAGTCCACTACAAGTGAAATAAATTGAATTCACGGCTTTCGATCACCGTCTCGTGAGTCCTAACTATTAGGAAATGAATTTATCAACCTTCCTTGAGATTTAAAAGCTTAAATACAACAAGTAGGCATTTTATTAACGATGAAGTACCTTCAAAAGCTCAAACTACAAAGAAAAAGAGAGGCAATATAATGATACTTACATTGTAGGGATCGTTCTAATGTTACCGCTTCTTGATTTCGTACCCGAGATGTTAATCCTTTTTGAAACCCTTGTAGAGAGCTTAAGGGTAAGTTTATAGGTCTTATTTGGTCGTGGTCTCTAGAAAAATTAAGAAAATGATGACATAAGGCATATATATATATCCATTTTTGAAAAGTCAAAGAGGTGCTAGCTTGGCACCCTAGCATTGGCCATTCGTCAGACGCTTATATCTTTTTATCCGGATATTGTATGAACGAACTATTAAGAGTGTTGGAAACTACATTCCAAAAACCTTCAATTTTGGTATATAATATGTCCCAAGAAGACCTCATATAGCACACAAAATGTATTGCTCAAAAAGCTTCGTTACAAGGAAAATCCTTGGTCGGTTTTTTCGCAATTTAAATCCGATTTTTCCCGAACATCATATATAGTCATATTATGAATTTAGACTTATTTAAATCTTGATTAACAAGTCTCATTTTCATTGTACGTCACCTTGGGACACACAGAATGTAACAAACTTCCTCCCTTAGAAACATTCGTCCTCGAATGTTAACTCCCAGAAATCTATAGAAAATTTGGCAGAGTCTCCTCTTTAACATCTACTACCAACCTGTCACGCAACAAACCCAACAATACAAAGCCACACGGGGACACAATCATCAATAACACCAACGGCCTCATATGACCAATGATAGTAACTAACATAAGAATCTAGTATAATATACGCACCTAAAGGCTATGATATCTTAGTCGGCTCCTCCTCCGGAAGCGGAAACAAGTGAGGATATCTAGACTTCATGTCTTCTTCAGCTTCCCAAGTCATCTCCTCCACATTCTTGTTTCTCCAAAGTACTTTGACCGAGCTACATCCTTAGTTCTCAATCTCCGAACTTGTCTATCTAGTACCGTAATAGGAGCTTCCTCATATGATAGCTGCTCTTTGACCTGAACATCTTCAACTGGAAAAACTCTATATGGATCTCTGATACACTTACGGAGCATAGACACATGAAAGACTATATGTACAGACTCCAAGTTGGAAGGCAAGTCTAACTTATATGCTACCTGGCCTACTCTATGTATAATCTTATAAGGTCCAATATACAGAGGGCTAAACTTTCCTTTCTTACCAAATCTCATAATGACTTTCATCGGTGATACCTTTAGGAATACCCAGTCGTCTACCTGAAACTCCAAGTCTTGTCTTCAATTATCTGCATAGGACTTCTGATGGCTCTGAGCTGCTAATAGTCTTTCCCTTATAAGCTTAATCTTCTCAACTGCCTGTTGTACCAACTCTGGTCCTACTAACTTAGTTTCCCTAACATCGAACTATCCAATAGGTGACCTACACTTCCATCCGTAAAGAGCTTCGTATATAGCCATCTGAATACTTGAATGATAGTTATTATTATATGCAAACTCAATAAGAGGAAGATGATCATCCTACCTACCCCTAAAGTCTATCACACAAGCCCGTAGCATATCCTCAAGTGTCTGTATAGTACGCTCAGCCTAACTGTCTGTGTGGGAATGAAATGTTGTACTAAGACTTACTTGAGTCCCCAACCCTTTTTGGAAGGACCTCTAGAAATTATTTGTAAACTGAGCACCTCTATCTGAGATAATAAATATAGGGACACCATGAAGTCGTACTATCTCCTTAATGTAAATCCTTGCATGGGGCTGATTTTATAAGTCTATCAACAATCACCTATATAGAATTGAACTTATGCTGGGTACGAGGTAAACCTATGATGAAATCCATATTAATTACTTCCCATTTAAAGTTGGAATCTTTATAGCCTGCAATAATCTATCAGGTTTCTGATACTCAATCTTAACTTGCTAACAATTAGGGCACTAAACAACAAACTCTGCTATATCCTTCTTCATTTAATCTCACCAGTATATTTCCCTGATATCATGATACATATTCATCGCTCCTGAATGAACAGAATAACGAGAATAGTGAGTTTTTCCCATAACCTGCCGAACCTAGGAAGCTATGAACCTCCATCAGTGTGTGGGTCTAGGCCAAGTCTTCACTGTCTCAATCTTCTATGTATCAATTCGGAACTCACCTAAAATAATATGCCCAAGGAAAGCTATAGAATTCAACCAGAATTCACATTTAGAGAATTTTGCGTACAACTTCCTTTCTTGTAGAACTCTGAGCACAGTATACAAATGATCTGCATGCTCAGCCTTTGAATGAGAGTAAACCAAAATATCATCTATAAATACAATCTACAGATCTAGAAAGGGTTTGAACACATGGTTCATCAAGTCCATGAATACCGCTGGGGCATTGGTCAAACCGAACGACATAACATGAAACTCAAAGTGCCTGTATCTAGTCTTAAAACGGTGTCTTCAAAATATATTTCTCTTTAACCCTTACCTAATGGTACCCAGACCTCAATTCTATCTTCAAGAAATACCTGGCACCCTGCAACTGATCAAATAAATCATCAATCCTCAGGAGCGGGTACTTATTCTTGATCGTCGCCTTATTCAACTGCCTGTAATCAATACACATCCGCAAGTAACCATCTTTCTTTCTCACAAATAATATAAGTTCTCCCCACGGTGATGTACTGGTTTGATAATGACTTTTTCAAGAAAATCCCTCAGTTGTACTTTTAACTCTCTCAGCTCTGCATGTGCCATTCTATAAGGAGGACTAGATATCGACTGAGTGTCTAGTAATATGTCAATAGCAAACTCAATCTCCTGCTCTGACAGAAGGCCTGGAAGCTTATCGGGAAACTCATTAACCATCGGGATAGATTGAAGGGACGATGACTCTATTTTCACATCCTTTACCCGAACTAAGTGATAAATATAGCCATTTCTGATCATCTTCCTTGCCTTGACATAGGAAATAAACCAACCTCTAGGCAATGCAGTTGTTACACCCTATGTTTTTGTACGTAAAAGTACGCCGTAAGTCAATTGATGTAAGCTCGAAAATGAGATCCTCTTTGAAAGTATATAAAGTTATTTAATATTGTTACACCCCGTATTTCAGATGTCACTACCATTATAGGATTATCTAATATGAACTCAAAAAGGACGAAATCCTTCTACAAGGATAAGAAAGGTTTACAGAAGTCTTCAATAAGTTAAGATGAATATGAGACTTGGTAATCATGATTTAAATAAGTTTAAAGTCATGATATCACTATATATGATGTTTGGATATGAAATATAAAGTTTGGAAAAAATTGGATTTAAGCTGCAGAAAAACCGACTAAGGATTTGCCTTGTAATGAAGCGTTTTGAGCAACGAATTTCATGTGCTATATGAGGTATTTTTGGGACATATTATATACCAAAATGAAGCTCTTGGAACCTAGTTTCCAATATCCAAACCATTTATTCATAAGACATCGGGGTAAAGAAATATGGATTTTTAAAGTAGGGTTGCCAAGTCACATCGATGCACTTCGGAGAAACTGGCAGGTTTATAGGCCAGGTTGCGACACAGTTGTCTCCCAATATATTGAGGTTATAGGAGATCTTTTTATGTAATTAAAGCCCCATGTGTCTAGTTTCTCATGCGGAAAACTGTTTGTCAATACGATATCGGAGTAGAGAGATACAAGTGTCCGAAGTTGCACTGCTCAAGCTGCCAAGCAGCCAGCTTACCCACCTGCTTGAAGAATTGAGGTAGTGGGCTTATAAGTGGTCTTATCCCCTTATATCTCGTCAAAAATACAGAGATTACTTAAACTAAAACACTCTCAAGCTCTCCAAAACCCTCCCTGACATATCCCAAGAACCAAACTCAAGGGAAATCAACTCAAATCATCATCAAAGACGATAAAGACTACAAGAGAATGCTTCTATGATGTTGTGGTGTGATTGAGGGCTATTGTGAGCTAAGTTGAGATAGGGTTTCGAGTTATAGATGCTTTCAAGGTATGTATAACATCTTCTTTATTGTACCTAAGGTTAATCTTGTGTTGATTGTGTTGTTTGAGTGAAAAACCATATGATAGCACTTGAAGGAACATGAGATATGGTTGTCTTTTTGGTTGGACTGTTTTGTGGCTAAATATATGGTTTGTGGTGGCTGGAAATTTGTGAGAAATAATTTGATAATGGTTTGGCTGCTGTTCTTAAGCTTTTCTAGGTGTTAACTAAGTTGATTGATGAAGAAAAGATGAAAAATAAGTGATTGATGATAAAATTTAAGGTGCTAGATGTATGAGGCTGCTTTGGAAGGCATTTTGTAAATGTTTTGAACTAGAATCAATATAGTACATATAAGTATGATGTTCTGAAGGTTATAAACTAATTTATGGAATAAGATTTAGATTAAATTTATATCTTGTTACGAGTAAAAACGAGCTTGCTGCTGAATATGATTGTTAAGAAAATCGGAGGAAATCATATTAGATTATATTG